AAAAAAAAAAAAAAAAAAAAAATTAATGAAAACCTGAAGATGTAAGAGCCTTTCTCTTTGGTTCTATCTCCTTTACAGTTAAAATTCACAAATAAAAATCATTCACATGCTCAGTAATCACGGAGGCTTGTGGGTTCTCAGCATACACATGCTTTTGAAATCTAGATATATTTCATACCCAAATCTCATATTATTTATATGCATTTCAGACCCATATAGGATATTATTTATATATAGTTTTGATATAATTATAAATTTGAAGTAAAACAAGTATAAAATTATATAACACACAACTATGGACCATATCTTAGTCTCAGAAATCCCTTACAACACCCAAAATTTTGGATAGCTAGACACATTATTTTGAGAATTATCAGAATTTTTTTAGATATTGTACACTATAAATGATTTCTCAAACACTCATCTATTTGTACTACATTCCAAGTATATACACTTTGCTCTCATTTTCAGTTCTAATTAAAGCTACTTTACTTTGAAAATGTATGAAAGAATATAGAAGAAGCAATTTCTGCAAAATTTTTCACTCAGAATAGTTTATATAGTGAGGAACTATTCAAGCCAATTTTGTTTTCTCAACCATTATTTCATAAGTCTAGATGTACTACTACTGAAGTTTCTTTGTAATTTTTTTTAATGTTAATGGGGATTGAACCAACTCAGGGCCTTCTCACTGAGCTATACCCTTGGTCCTCTTTATTTATTTAATTTTGAGACTGGGGGTCTCACTAAATCCATGAATGGCCCAGGCTGGTGTCAAACTTGGAATCCTCCTGCCTCAGCCTCCCAGAATGCTGGGATTTCAGGTATGTGCCGCCACACGTGGCACTCCCTACTGAACATTTAACTAGTGCCTTTTGTTTAAAAGCATCAGCAGAGGCCAGGGATATAGCTCAGTGGTACAAGCACTTGCGTGGCAAGCGCAAGGTCCTGAGTTTGAGTCTTAGTAACCGAAAAAAAAAACAGCAACAGCAACTAAAAAATTATGTATGTCCTTTTTTTTTCATCATTTTTTAAAATTTTAGTTTTAGAGATAAAAGAACCAAAACATATTAACAAACAGACATAAACAAAACAACATCAAAACAATACAAACAATACAGGATTTCAGACAAGGTGAAAAGAAATTAGCAACGGTTGTTCCATCACATACAGTTATCTCCACATTGGTTACTCAGATAAACAAATACAGACATGCAAGAATGATCAAACAATATCAACTGTTAAAAATTATGTATTTCAACTATGTGCAGCACCTAACATCTTTTCATCATTTTAAGGTCTCTACTACAGAGCCTGACAGCAGCATATACCTGTAATCCCAGCAATTAGCAGACAGAGGCAGAAGGATAGCAAGTTTAAGGCTATACTGGACAACTTAAAAAGACTCTGTCTCAAGGACTGGGCATGGTGCTGTAGGCTGTAATATCAGCACCTGGGAGACTGAGGCAGGAGGACTGTTGTAAATTCAAGGCATCTTGGACTACATAATTAGACCCAGTCTCAAAAAACATTTAAAAAAAAAAAAAAATGCTGGGGTTATACTTTAGTTGTAGAGTGCTCGAGTTCAATCCCCAACACCAGAAAAAAAAAACCCTATATAAAAGTATTCTTCTGAGCATCATATAGATATTTAAATCTGTTAAAACTTAGATATGTGTATGTATCTATTCATATACATACTTTTCCCAAATAAATCTATAAGGAAGTAGGAGTAAAATGAAAAGGAAAGAAGCACTTTTTCTCTTTCTCTTCCCTACCAATGAAAGCTGTGTGCTTGCTTCTGAAACTGTTTTCAATTGCACAAAAGTAACAGGGAGGAGCAAGAGAAAGAAGCATAAAAGATGAGCAGAATAAATAAGTACCCCAAGGAGGGGGCAGGGTACTCTAGCTCCATGCCCAATGTTCAAGGCAGTACTCTGCAACTTCCGATCTTCTCACCCTCCATCCAGAATCCTAATGATCTGGGGTAAGCAGCATTCTCTCAAAGCCTGCTTACCCTCCTATAACAGCTAAGCACTAAATGCAGTACCAAATAAATCATCTTTTTTCATCCTCACAACTACCTGAGGACAGAGGCCACACAAAGTTCAGTAACTTGTCTAAGGTAGTAAGACTGGTAAGTGGTAGAGTCTAACAAGAAACCCCGAATCTCTTTTCTGCTCACTACTACACTACGTCCTGTTTTCTTGCACATTCCAAAGCCCCACTAACGTTTATCAGTACAAAACGGGACCAATCTTAAAGGAGCTGCTCAAACTCATACATTATAAGCAGTAACTAATTCACACATATGAGTGGAACAGAAAGAACCCAGAGCTCTGCTCTAATTAGGGAAGGTGTTAGTATAAGTATTGGAATAAGGTGGAATGCATTTTCAAAATTTTGGGAAACAAGACAACCCTAAAAGCTTACTACTCAAAAGTGTGGGACAAGGTAGTTATCCCACGGTGCTGCCAAATAGCACCGTCCATCTATACCAGAAGTTTCTTAAAATGCAGAATCTCAGGGTCCAGCTCACAATTAATCCGCATTTTAACAAAATCTTCAAGGCAATCCATATGCATTTTAATTTTTAAAAGCACTGCTCGCAAAACAGTGAACAACAACTTGAGCAGCAAGGGCCTAGAAAAAAGCCTTTGTGGTTTTTGGAAATCATTGATCAAAAAGCCTACGACTTCAAATCAACACAGCACTATGTTCTGCTAAATTTATAATTCTCAAAGTTTTCCAGTCACCAGTAACTCCAGTGTTCCACGGCACTCTTCCAAAACAATAAAAAAAAGAAAGAACTAAAACTGCACTTGCTGCCAGGACCACAGCACTCTCTCAGGGAGGGATTTAGAACTACAAGACTGTCGGTCACTACATGCCTATTGTTACTGATCTTGAAGGGGCCTAATTCAGAAAAGATGACACATGTCATGAAGGTGAGAGTTCAGAACTACAAATACCTGAGAAAAGTAAATGGCACTGTGTCAGAATACCATTGTCACTTAAAATGGATACAGATTATACTATCTAATTAATGCCACACTAAAAGTGCCTAAAATTTTTAGAAAAAATATTAGTACATTACAAACCTAAAATTTTTTCTTTCATACATCATGTGGAAAGTGGAACCGTAGTAAACTATTTTTTAAAGAAATAAGAGGCTGAAATAGCTTAATCGTGAATATATGGCTGTGAACTATACACTAATTCAAACTTATTTATAAAGATTTATATGGGGGCTGGGGATTTAGCTCAGCAGCACAGCACTTGACTGGCAAGCGTGAGGTCGTGACTTTGATTCCCGGTGGGGGGGGGGGATTTATAATGAAGCATAGTTGGCAAATAAGAGTCCTTCACAATCTTAAGGCTTGCAGAAACTTGACAATATTTACTGTGTGTAATGACTTTAGAGTTCTTAAATAACCACCTCAATTAGGAACAAATTGGCTAATCTGTGAACACTACATACACAACTGCATCAAATCATTGGTATTATAACACCATCCAAAGTTTTAACGGTTCTTAGTGGGAACCAGAAATCAAAATAGATTCCACAATCACATGGACTCAAAAAATTCAAAATACCAAGTACTGTAGATCAACTATCTCTATCCCATTACAGTTATCTGTATTATAAATTCTAAATATAATTTCATTGTGATAGAAAATATTTTCATGACTATTATATAAAAAATGTGACATAAATGTTTTAGGATATTTAACTTTTTTTCTTTTAAACAACGAAGAATGTACTGCTTCATCTGCACTGCCCCAATATTTTTTTAAATATAATGTTTACTTTTTTTTTTTTGAGACAGGTCTCACTGTGTAGTTCAGGGTGGCCCTCAAGTCACTATGTAACCCACGCTGGCATCAAACTCACAGCAATCCTCTTGCCTCAGCCTCCCGAGGGCTGGGATTACAGGCATGCGCCACCACACCCAGTGTTTTGTTTTGTTTTGTTTTGTTTTCTTTTGTTTTCCATTGCTAGGGATTGAAGCCAGTTCCTTGAGCGTGCTCAACACAGCTCTTCCACAGATCTACACCACCAGCCCAAAAACATGATTCAAAAATAGAATTCAAGGGCTGGGGATTCAATCCCCAGCACTACAAAAAAAAAAAAAAAAAAAAGCCAGGAGTAGTGGTGCATGCCTATAATCCCAATACTGAGGCTGAGGCAGGAGGATCCTTGTGAGTTCAAGACCAGCCTGAACTGCATAGTGAAACCCTGTCTCAAAGACAAAATAAAAAAATTCAAGTAATATCAATCTGAAGTAAATAAACTAAGGTAAAGGTCTAAAATGGGTACAGCAAATTTTAAAAATTTTAAAAACCTATTCCAAGATTCGCCTACCTTCTTTCCAACTTTGGGGAAGTTACTTACTCCTCTAATGCCTGCAGATCTATTTCCTCAGTCCAAGCAACTTAATAAAATTAATTGGATCAAACCTCTACAGAACTTTGGAGTCACTCTGACCTTATGTAAATAGGAGTTTTGGAGTCATGAGACCTGAGTCTGAATCAACATAAGAGTTTGAATTCATAAACCAGGTGACAGACCTTGGACAAACTATTTAACTTCTATGTTCCTTTTACTGCTACAGTTAAATGACAGTTGTCTTATCTCCTTTGGGTAATTATAAAAAATTACAGAAGAACCATATAAAGTATCCAGAATGGTCTTAGTAAAACCCACTTTCATGAAAACTGCTTTAAAAAAAAACTCTCCAAATGTATATTAGATATATAAATACTCAACAACTTATTTTAATGTTTCCTAAAAGATAAATTTGTGATTCCAAAGGAAGTAACATCTGAAAAAGTTTACACTATTACTGAGGGTATTAAAAGCCATCACATGGGAAATGTTGTACCACAGCAACAAAAGGTAAAAATCATTTTACCAAAGTTTTATACAGATTTTTGCAATGCATAAAACTCAACTGTCATACAAAGAATCAAATGAATCTAGATCCAGGTAGGTAAGGATACTGTGACAATAAAATAAAAATGATTATAAATACTTTACTACTGGAAATGCATATTTTTAAATGGGAACTTGGTATAAAATACACCTCTCTTTACAAACGCATTTTACTATTCCTTTCTTTCAAGTGAAGCAATATTTAAAACTTCATAGAACTTGACAGGTAAGTATTAGAGATTCATAGATTCAAGAAACTTTAAATAAATCATCTGATTTATCCTCTTTGATCATAAGTTTTGTGAACTTTGTTTTTCCCCACTGTTATGTGTTTACTGGTTAAATAAAGTTAATGTGTATTTACCCAGTCTGTGAGGTTTGCAATTCTCACCATAGAAACTGTCACATCTCATAAATAGTTTTTATATTTTAGCACTTAATTCTTTTAAAGTTATTACTAACATGTAGGTCTTACGCTTACTAAAAGTTTTTATAAGCATGCAGTTCAAAAGGCCATGTTGTTTTGGCTGTTTCTTTCAGGAAGAAATTTTTTATATTCACAACATAATTAGAATTCTAGAATTGAGAAGCTAAACCTTTACTAGTAATTAAAAATCATGCACATGCAAAATAGGGAACACAATCACATTTTAAGGTCAAATACACTTCACAAAAAAACAACTTCTGATATAAATAGGGTTTCTTTTAAATCACTTCAATGACTTTAAGAGTCTATACTTCCTTAAAAAGTGCACGAGGAATATTTTCCTTTTGACTAAAATACACCAACAGCCTTGATTTTCCACTGAAAAGATTACTTTTGTGGGGGTCTGTCGGAGGAAGGTGGAAGATGTGAAAAGTTATCCTAACTAAAAGAAAACCTTTTGTCACCTCGACTCGTTCCCACTGTGGTTGTGTGTGTGTGTCTGCGTGTGTGGGTGACTGGGAGAAGGAAGAAAAGGGAGGGCAGAATAAGTAAAATGACAGTTTACGAAGCCCGTAAAATCTACCTTGGATCAAACTCAATTTCACAAACTCCACAAAGGTCTCCGGATTTGCCTAGAGCTACAGAGAAAAATCAAGTCAGCACCTCCCATCTCCAAACAGACTAAAATAAAAGCCTGTGGTGAGCTTAGCCTTCACTCACCCTCGCCCTAAGGGAGCAGGCACACTGGCTCTCAGGGAAGAAAAAGCACAACACCGTTCTTCGGGCCATTGTCAAAAAAGAAATCAGCCGGGCGTGGTAGCGCACGCCTGTAATCCCAGCACTCGGGAGGCTGAGGCAGGAGGACGTTGCAAGTTCGAGACCAGCCTGGGCTACAAAGTGAGCTCAAGGCCTGCCTGAACTGCATAGCCAGATCCTGTCTCAAAAAGACAAAAGAAAAAATAAAAAAGAAAAGAAAACAACAGGGGGAAAAAGGGGAGGGAAAGATGGAAAGAAAAAAGGAGAGGAGACGGAGGAAGGAAGGCAGGGAAGGCAGGAAGGGAAAGCAAAGGAAAAAAAGGAGGGAGAGAAGAAGAAAGAGAAAAAGAAAAAAGGGGAAAGGCGAACGCGTAGAGCCCACTTGACCAGACCATTCCTCGGGCGCAGTCACTGTGGAACGCATCTGACTCTTGGCTCTTAAGAAAGACCCGCTGGAGGCGCTCCGGCTGCCAAGCCTCCTACCTGTCAGTGTGACTCTTTGGTCCGGAGGCGCCGACAGGTCGCGGGTTCCGTGCACTTTCAGGGCGCCCGCACTGGCAGAGGCTGCCTGTGCTCCCGGGATTTTCGGGGCTGCCCCCCGGGCGCGACCCTTCATTCCCAGGGACAGCAGGCGCCCTTTGTACATCCACTTCTGCAGCTTCCTGACGGTCACCGCGGGCGGCTTGAGGAAGGGGGGCCCCTCGTGGCAGCCGTCCTTGCCGCCGGGTACCGCGGCGGTCCCCGCAGGACCCCCGAACGGGTTTCTCGAGGGCCGGCCGGGGTCGCGGGCGCCGGGACGCAGCAGGCCGGCGGGCTCCGTGGCCC